TGTTACGTAGTCCTTCCCTGGGTCCTATCAAAGTCTCCCTCTTGCCCCGTCGAATCGGTCTGCTATCTCCTTGGTACAATATGACCAATATGATCGAGTTGCGAAAACAAGGTCAAATAACTTCTATACAACGAAAAGAGACTGCCACCACACAAAAGGCCACACCATCTTGGTTTTCATACCTTAGAGTGTACTATAGTTGAACAAAGTGACTTGTAATAAAAATTTTGTGCGGTTAATGGCATTGATATATTCTATATTATTGCTCTTTACCACATCATTCATTTACTTTTATTCCACTTTTTTGAATTCCACATAAAGCTGTGAAGGGAGAATTGAATACCTGCGAAGTTTTTGACTTAACGAACCGTTGCAAAGGCTGGACCGTGCTTCCACAGAAATTGTCCATTCCACGCCGTGATCTTGCATCATCCCATCTCGATGGCCGCCTCTTCGCTGTTGGCGGGTTCCATCGTTTCACACCTGTGGCTACAGTGGAGGTCCTCGATACGAATAGAATGGATGCTGACTGGTGTTCTCTACCTCAAATGCATCACACGTGAGTTACCACTTTTGCCCTATGCCACCCTATTGCAAACGTGTTTCTCCCGGAGTGCTAACACTACAATTTAATATATTGGTTATATATTGGCCTTTGGAACGATAGGTGTGTGATATGAAGTGCCATGAGAAGTGACATGGTCTGTGCTAATTTGAGTTAAACGTATTGGCATCTGACACTTTCATATGTCATATTAATGTAACACTTCTTTAGTGCCTGAGCCTAAATCTTTCTCATTACACCTTTCTAAGAAGACACTACTTGACTCTAGTAAGCTTATTAGATATGAAGAGAAGCTAGGTTCAGAAGAATTCCTTAATCAATTTATCTTATTTTATTTCTTATTTTGTTTCAAAAGACAAGTGACCTCACCAGAAGCCGAAGAATGATTTCCTTATAATTTTTTCTATATATTTGTGTGAATAAGTCCTCGATGCACTATCCCTCGACCCATTTGAATCTGTTCTGAGACCGTCTAGTATCTGACACATATCGTCAGAGCTGGAAACCATTCTTTACTAAAATTTACCAAGCCATTAGACAAAAAAGCCTGGTAAAACATTGCCTTACATTCTGATGGTGTCTTTTACTGCGTGACAGAACAGTGTGCGAGGAAGTTTGCTGAATTGTGCTTAAGTGATCGCACATGATAAAGCGAACTTATCACATGATGGAAAAAGCTTCAAGTTATTTAAGAAAGATATTCCTTATTGACTTAAGTTACTTATTAATTTAATTCAGGTGCATTAATTTAAAAAATCATTTGCCTTTCTGATTACACCCTAGATCGTATTTAGGGATTCTCGTGGGCTGCGACGAATAGAAGCTTTCATTTACAAGGCCCAAAGTTCACACTTATATCTAATGGCTCCTGTATTTCTACGAAGAGGCTATCTTGCTGACCTATTTATTTGCAAAGGATGATAATAATTCTTCATTAGTCGTAGGATCCTCAGAAGAGCTACCAGTGTCATCATATAAAGTTACTTGGATTGTTATCTATTGTCCATCTATTTTATATTTATTCGAGTTATTTTCCTTTCAAAATGCTTAGGAAGGCAATATTCGGTTGTACTTGTATGCTCTATACATTTTGATTAGATTGATAATGCTAGAATGATTATTGAAGAGATTTGCCTTGTTTATAGACATAAATTGAACAAACGATTAACGATTAATACTAATCGAGTGTTTTTATTGCTCTGATACTTAGTATCTGAAAGTTATTGGATCTGGGTAACGAATTTTCACGCTCATGTATTGAAACTTAATTTGGTCCAACTGTCTACGAAATTTCAGCAGAACTCAGCAACGAATTGAAATTAAGCTGTATCATTGGTAAATTTGACCTTTGGGTATTCACATTTGCTCTATCACCGATTCATCGAAGAGCATACTTGAGCATGATATAGAATTTTACTAAAAGTCAGATTAATTACACAGTTTAAAAACCAGTTGCCTTAATTATGCTGTTTTTATTAGAGCTCATTGTATACCAGAGTTTATTAAATTTAGAATGTGTCTGCTAATGATGTATGTAGTGCGCTAAGTGCTATTTGTCATTTTAACTTCAAAGAGTTAATTGATTGGTATAATATTAAACGAATATAAATGTACAAACTTTGGCTATTCGATGCCTAAATAAGCCACACACACAATTCAAAAGCATTGCATGCACATAGCACACGTGCAATCATATACGCAATTTTAAGATAAAAATTTTTTTTGATTTGGAAGAGAATGCAGCCGTTCGGTCACAATTTCATCCATCTTACACTTCATTTGCATGTCATGCGCAGACACTACACTTTTCAGAAAACGTCCAGGGAAATCATAGGATAATCAAACGTTTGAAGACCAAGATGGTGTGGTCTTTGTATGGTTACAGTCACCTTTCGTTGTGTAGGAGTTGCTTGACCTTATTTTCGCAACTTGCTCATATTGGTAGAAAGACCTGTAGGAACGTACCTAGTTCGGAGTCCATAGTATGCATGATACTTTACAGAGTCGGACCATGGACGTTGTACATTCCCAAATAAAAGTCTCTTTGAAGAGTTGTAGTATGCTGCTAATGATGGCAATGGTCACTGACAAGGCCGACTACGATGCCGTCAAAACGTCTGGGAATGTACTACGTCCACGATCCGACTTTGTAAATTATCATACATAGTATGCACTCCGGATTCGGTGCGTTCCTCTAGGTCTTCCTACCAATATGACCAAATTGCAAAAACTAGGTCAAAGCATAGGGTATCCTAAAAAATCATAGGATATAGGAGATATATTTAGCCAATTTTGCTTAAACTTATACTGAAACTGGTAATTGGATTTTCCACCAATCATATGGGTAGACCTTGTGTTTCCACTGAATTTTACATAGCCTCCTTTTCCCTATAGGGATTCTTATCCTGGATGGATTGTAGTTTTGAACTGGATGAAGATAGCTTTTGGGAAAGCAATGCTATCTGAAATTCACTGGAAACATAAGGTCTTCTCATATCATTATGGGAAAATTAGACTACTATTCCCTTTCTGATATACATTTAATATATAGGATGTCCTGGTTGTTTAAAACCGTACTTTTAGATAAAGAAACATTGAATATCTCACTTGGTGGACAAAGTTATGTTTGCAGCTCGCTTTCTTTCTTGCCTGCGTGTTTTAGCAGATTATCGTATAGCATTTTGTCTTTCCCTAAGGATTTCCGTTACATGACGGACAAAAGCTAATCAAGGATTCATCAGAGTCGCAGGACGGTTCGTCGAGAGCCTATTCGAACAAATCTTCCGTTATAGCTCCGAGGAAATCGCCCTTTAGCCTCCACTTAGGCCAACATACAAATCCTTTCCAATCACCTCTTGAAACTGAATGAAAGGTATTACAATGTCACTATTAAGACATTCGTGAAACCCAGTTTTTTTAATGATATTTGTTCCTGCTTAATCCTTGCTTGTTTTATATTCTTTTTTTCTCTTCTTTTTCGGTACATTTGGGTTTGAGTCGCCGTTCCCCAGCAATTTGCCATTTTGGTGGCGAACTCTTCGTATTTGGAGGCCAAGGCAATCCAGGTACGGCGGAAGTATTTTCACCTTCATCAGAGACCTGGAGGCTAATACGAAAATTGCCAGCCGAACGCTCTGGAGACTGTAAGCGCCATACATTATACGTTTTTAAATTATGACATGCTGAAAGCATGTGATGTCGGTCATATGACGGACGAAAGCTTAGCACTTTTTCACCGGAATCGAAGGAGATTGCCTTAAATACAGCGTCAGCATGAATCTTCCAGTAAAGCCAATCGACAGCTGGTCAAAAGGAATCCGCCGTCGTCTTCTAGGGGAACCGACCTTTGAATCTCTTCACCCAACACTTTCACTCGAAATGGAAGTAAGCTCAACAGATATAAATAGAGCTTTACCAAAAGGTTCGACCTCACAAAGGTCTTAATAAAACCCCTAGATGATAACACCTTTTAAGAAAGCAAGGCTATGCGAAATTCAATGAAAAATATCAGCTCTACTCATAGCAGTGTGGGAAAATTAAACAACCAAATGGCAATACTTAGTGCGCATAGAGCTCTTGACTTTTATATTATTCCCACTTGGATATTAAAAAGTTCCGAACCAGGTCGTAAAGAAAATTACAGACGACTAAGCAAGCTGATTTAATGTCAACGGATGGCTTCAATTATATCAATCAAATTTTAGGATTCAAATTTGACTATAAACCCAGAGAATATATAATTCAAGTTAAATGAAGTTCCGATAT